AGAGGAGCCTGATAACTGAAAGATCTGCCTCCGATTCTACTTATGGAAACTCTAGGAACCACAAGTAAACCGGCAGTCTGAGAGTGATGTGCTCTGTTGGGAAAATATGGAACAATAAACTCTCAAATATAAGATGGAGCTAGGTTGTTGAGAGCTTTGTAGGTTAAAAGTAAGATTCTGAATTATTTTCTGAATATGACAGGGAGCCAATGGAGAGAAGCTAAAACTGGATACGTTTCTGTTCAGTGCCCTGAGATGACTTCTGGACTTGGCGCTATATAAATAAACTGAATGGAATTGAGATATATGATCTCTTCTATCAACTCTCATTAAAACCCTGGCAGCAGCATTTTGGATCAACTGAAGACATTTTAAAGAAGTATTTGGAAACCCATATAATAAACCATTGCAATAGTCCAGTCTAGACATGACAAATGCATGAACCAGTTTTTCTGCATCATTTTTAGATAAGATGTTTCTAATTTTAGTGATATTACGCAGGTAGAAGAAGGCAGTTCTAGTAACGTTTTTAATGTGGGGGATAAAAGACATGTCCTGATCAAAAATAACACCAAGATTTTTAACATTAGAGCTGGAGTGCAGCCATCTAAAGAGGGAGAAAGACTGAAAAATTATTCCTAAAATACTCAGGTCCACAAACCAAAACCTCAGGCTTGTCTGAGTTTAAAAAATTAAGTTTAAAATCTATTTATTGTTCAAAAACTTTCCTTTGCTTCTCCATAATTCAAAATTAATAGTAATTACAGAGCATCCAGAAAGTATTCACAGCGCTTCACTTTTTCCACATTTTGTTATGTTACAGCCTTATTCTAAATTATATTAATCTCTTTCCTCATACTTTTACACACATCAACACATTATGACAATGTGAAAAAAGATGTGAGATTATTGAAAATTTATTAAAAATAGAAAACTAAGAAATCACATTTACATTCATTCAACCTTTATTTACATAAGTATTCACAGTCTCTACCATGAAGCTCAATTTGAGCTCAGGTGCATGTTTCCATTGATCATCTTGAGATGTTTCTACAACTTAAATGGAGTCCACCTGTGGTAAATTCAGTTGACTGGACTTGATTTAGAAAGGCACGCACCTGTCTACAGAAGGTCCAACAGTGGACAGTGATGTCAGAGCACAAACACCAAGCATGAAGTCAAAGGAATTGTCTGTAAACCTTCAGACAGGATTGTGTTGAACAAATCCGGGGAACAATACAGAAACATTTCTGCTGCTTTGAAGGTCCCAATGAGCTCAGTGTCCTCCATCATTCATTGATAGAAGAAGTGTGGAACCACCAGGATTCGTACTAGAGCTGGCTGTCTAAACTGAGCAATTGGGAGAGAAGGGCCTTAGTCAGGGAGGTGACCAAGAACCTGATGGTCACTCTGTCAGAGCTCCAGCATTCCTCTGTGGAGAGAGGAGAAAATACCAGAAGGACAACCATCTCTGCAGCAATACACCAATCAGGGTTGTATGGTAGAGTGGCCAGAAGAAAGCTGGTCCTTAATAAAAAGAACATGACAGCACGTCTGGAGTTGAACAAAAGACACCAGAAGGACTCTGAAACCATGAGAAACAAAACTCTCTGGTCTGATGAGACAAAGATTGAACTCTTTGGTGTGAATGTCAGACGTCATGTTTGGAGGAAACCAGGCACCGCTCATCACCAGGCCAATACCATCCCTACAGTGAAGCATGGTGGTGGCAGCATCATGCTATGGGGAACTGGCAGAAGAGTCAGGATGGAGGGAAAGACGAATGCAGTGATGTGCAGAGACATCCTGGATGAAAACCTGCTTTAAAGCGCTCTTGACTTCAGACTGGGTGACGGTTCATTTTTCAGCAGGACAACAACAGCACATGGCCCAGATCTCAAAGGAGAGGCTTCAGGACCACTCTGTGAAGGTTCTGGAGTGGCTTCAGGACAACTCGGTGAAGGTTCTGGAGGGGCTTCAGGACCACTCTGTGAAGGTTCTGGAGGGGCCAAGCCAGAGTCCAGACTTGAATCAGACTGAACATCTCTGGAGATATCTGAAAATGGCTGCACAGGTGTCTCCCATTCAACCTGATGGAGCTTGATAATTACTGCAAAGAAGAATGGGACAAACTATCTAAAGACAGGTGTGCTCAGCTTGAAGCATCATATTCAAAAAGACTGGAGGCTGTAACTGCTGCCGGAGGTGGATCAACAAAGTGTTAAGCAAACCCTCATCAGTATGCATACTGCGAGAACCGATCAACAGAGGATGCCATCTCCTCTGTGGTCCACATTGCGCTCAACCACCTGGAGCAGAAAGACTCTTACGTCCGTATGCTCTTTGTGGACTTCACATCTGCCTTAAACACCATGATCCCCCAAACCCTGATGGACAAAGTATTCACACAGTTCCATTTGCAACTGGGTACTAGACTTCTTAACAAACAGACCACAGTCAGTGTGAGGATCCACAACTTCTCCTCCTCCACCATAACCCTCAGCACTGGCTCTCCTCAGGGATGTGTGTTGAGCCCCCTCCTGTTTACTCTGCTCACGTATGATTGTGAAGCTACCCATCCAGGCTGTCACATTGTAAAGTTTGCAGATGATGAAGCCGTGGTGGGATGCATCACAAACAATGATGAGTCCAGCTACAGGCAGGAGGTGGAACACCTGGAGAGCTGGTGCAAAGAGAATAACCTTCACATCAATGTGAAGAAGACAAAGGAGATGATTGTGGACTTCAGAAGGAACAAACACACCTTCACCCCCCCTGAACATAAGGAGATCTGCGGTGGAAGTAGTCTCCAGCTACAAGCACTTGGGTGTACACCTGAATGACAACCTCAGCTGGAGCAACACCACCACCAACCTGATCAAGAAAGCTCATCAGACTCTACTTCCTCAGGCAGCTGAGACGAGCTGGTCTGAGAAGCTCAGTCCTCACCTCCTTCTACAGGTGTGCAGTGGAGAGCATCCTGTGCTCCAGCATCAACGTGTGGCATGGAGGCTGCACAGCTGCAGAAAGAAAAGCTTTGCAGAGAGTGGTGAAGGCTGCACAGAAGTCTGTCGGAGTCAGTCTCCCCACCATCACAGACATCTACACCTCCAGATGCAGGAAGAGGGCCACCTGCATCATGAAGGACCCCACTCACCCAGCACACACACTTTTTGCCCCGCTCCCCTCAGGAAGGAGGTTGAGAAGCATTAAGTGTAGAACCACTAGACTGAGGAACAGCTTCTACCCTGAGGCTGTTAGACTCATGAATATCTAACCAGAATAATCACTGTGAAAAATCACATCATGTTGATGTGTTCATGCGTGCTCATCTGCTCACACAGACTCATGTTCGTGCTGCTGTTCGACGTAATGTTTTTATGTCATTAGTGCTTAGTGTATTTTTAGTTGATGTTTTTCTTAGGTCATATCTTAGATGTTATTGTTTTTCTTTTACATTTTTATTGTTGGATGTAACTGGGACCCTGTGTACATAATTTCGTTCCACCACATGTACCACATGCGGTGCAAATGACAATAAAGAATCTCTGACTCTGAAAACTTACGTAAATGTGAATTCTTAATTTTCTATTTTTAATAAATTAGCAAAAATCTCAAAAAATAGCTTTTCACATTGTCATAATGGGGTATTGTGTGTAGAATTTTGAGGAAATATATTAATACCATTTGAAATAAGGCTGTAACATAACAAAATGTGGAAAAAGTGAAGTGCTGTGAATATTTACCAGATGCACATCTACTTAGCTTTATAGGTTTCTATTGCTTCACATCCATAAATGTTTTGATTAGGTTACAATTGATTTAATTGACTCATACCACTTTTTAAAATTTAATTTAATGTAATTTATCAATACCAATTTACTGGTCTGTTTTAGTTCCGACTCTCATCTGTGGTCATGAGGTTTGGATCATGACCAAACGAACGAGATCGTGGATACAAGCGGACAGAATGAGCTTCCTTCATAGGGTGGCCAGGCTCAGCCTCAGATAGGCTGAGGAGCTCAGAGTAGAGCTGCTTCTCCTTAACATCGAAAGTGAAAAAGAAAGGAGTTGGTTGAGGTGGTTTATTTGCTTAGGATTCCTCTTGGATGCCTACATTTACAAGTATTACAAGCACGCCCCACTGGTAAGATGCCTCAGGGAAGACCCAGAAGTCACAGAGTATTGTGATTGTGCATCTTCTCTGGCCTGAGAACAACTTGTGGTCCCCCAGAATGAGCTGGAGTGTCACTGGAGAAAGGGATGTCTGGGTTTCTCGAGTGGACCTGTTGTCCCCACAACCCGACTACGTATATTCATTCCATCTTTATTTATACAGGTCAGTCAAAGTTATTATAGGCAGTAGGATATGGAGATGTTAGATTTGGAAATATGTATCTTACAAGTCCAAATTGTATGATTTTAGAATGTGTCACTAAATACTAATCCTGAGACTGAAAGTCATTAAATCTCTGTCATCCTTAAATCTGACATTTAATTCCGTTTGAGAGGACCTGAAGAAGTGCAGTAAGTTGATGGTCAGTGTGGCGGTCTTGTAATCCTGAGGCTGCAAGTTCAGGCACAGGTTGCATCAGAAAGAGCATCCGGTGTAAAACATTTGCCAAGTCTTGCATGCTAGTTCACCTGCTTTGGTTAGCCCTACAGGTGGAAGCGCTGAAGAGAGAAAGGAAAGAGGAAAGGAGGGAAGGAAGGTTGGAAGAGGACTTGCTTCTTCTGACCATTAGACTGATACAATTATCATTGATAAACACAGGTGTCCTGCTGTTAAGAGCTTATTGATTAATAATTAAGCCCATTTAAACTCATTACAGATTTTTGTTGCAATTGTCTTCATTGTAGGAGTTTTGGGTGGACAACATTGAACACCTTCGCCGTTTGGCCAATGTCACAGTTGAAGTCTTGCTGCTATTTTAAAAATATTTAACACATGCTGCAGCTGATGAGCCTAATAATATGTAACGTAACTACAAGTTACCCACCGATATATTTATCCTCCTGATCATTCTCTCCACCCACAACAACCTTCCCTTGGGTTTTACGGAGCAGTTCCATCAGACGAGTCCAGTGTCGGGGTGACACGATGCGAGCCAGGTCAGGACTCTTCTGAGGCTCCTTGCTGTAGAACTTCTCCAGGACTTTGATCAGCACAGGTACCAGAGCATCCCGAATGGCAGTGGTGCACAGCACATAGTCTGGAGCCACGCAACTTTGGCCAGCGTTAAAAAACTTGGCCCAGGCCAAGCGGTAAGCAGCAGCTTCAATGTTCACTCGCCCATATATGAGGCAAGGACATTTGCCACCCAGCTCCAAAGTTACTGGTGTCAAGTGGACCACGGCTGCCTGTGCAATGCACCGGGCCACAGACTGAGAACCTGAAAGACAAGAGCTGAAGTGCTTTAAAGAAGAACAAATCACTCAGATTGTATGCATCTACCACAAAAACTTCCATGTAGCCTACATGTGGAACAGCTTTTTGACATACTTTTGACAAGTGGAGCACTGAAAATACAAAGTTCGGCATTTACAGAGGCTTTTACCTGTGTAGAAGATATGGTCAAATCGATTCTTTAAAAGAGCTTGGGTCTCCTCTGGTCCACCACGGACAACTGCGTAACAGTCCTGTGGAATCAACACGGCAGTCGTGAAGTGTGAGATTTACTCTCAACATCGCACAGAACAATCATATTAATACTTAGAACTATGGCAGGATACAGCTAAAATAAATCTGCATCCTGGTTAATATCTACTGTTGATTTACCTGAGACAGATACTTGGGGATGAGCTCTGATATAAGACAGTTTGTGGCAGAGCTGACCTCAGAGGGTTTGACGATGACACAATTTCCTAAACAAAACACAAACATCCATCAGTCAGAGAACAAGTTAGGATACGCTCACAAGGGACTTAAATTAAAACGATATATGTATAGCCTGTTTAACATGCCAATATGGTGATTAAGTTACTTGTGGAAAGAAAGGTGGCGCAGAGGTTAGAGAGGTGGGCTTGTGATCCGAAGATCGCCGGTTCACGCCCCGGCCCCGACAACATCAAAAATTGTGGGTGGGGTAGGTGAAACACCCACACTTGCCCCCACTCTCATTCGCCCCACCCTGGGCCCATGAGCAAGGCCCTTAACCCCACCATGTGCTCCCTAAAAAAAACAGGTCTCTCTTGAAAATGAGTTCTCGTGGCTCAATGAGACTAACCTGGATAAATAAAGGCTAAATGAAAAAAAAAAAAAAAAAAAAAAAAATGTGGAAAGAAAGAACATCATGACTCAGCATATTCACATTCACAGAATTACAACAATCCCACTACAATATAAATCAGCCAAAATATGGACAGCTTTTGAAGGGTCTTGGCAAGATCTGGGGTGGCTGTGGCTGAGTGGTTAGATCTTCCTCCATTGCAAGAGTTGGGGGCTCGATTCCACCAGCAATCACATGCCGAAGTGTCCTTGGGCAAGACACTGAACCCCTCATTGCCTCTGATATGTGTCCCATCAGTGTATGAATGTGATAAAGCTCTGATTATTCTTTGTATAGATCTAGTAGAGTGATGTATGAATGAGTAAATGAGGACACAGATTGTGTTGTAAAGCGCTTAGATTATCTTGATAAGATAGAAAGGTGCCATATAAGTGCAGTCCATTTACCATATCTTTATGGTCATAGTGTCTAGGTGGGCTGTGATGGGCCAAAGAGAATCATGCCGAGGCAGGCAGTTTCAGTTTAGTGAAGGTGCAGGGAAGCGTCTCAGATGCTAAAAATAGCCACAAAAAAAAACTATTTGAAGAGTACTAAAGAATGTACCAGCACTGTGATTGCTTTCACACTGAAGACGATTTTCCATATTTTCTGTGATCCAGTCACATTCTATTAGGATGGTAGGTCATGAAGTTGTGTTATCTTTATCTTATCTTTAGTGTCATCTTTCAGGGTGAAGGAGTCCTTAGTAAAGAGCCCTTTGAAAGCCAAAAGAGATGGCCCCTTTTTGGTGGATTGAGACAAATTATTTGAATCCCAGAAAATACCTATAATTCCCATCACTAGACACAAAGACACATCAGCTATCCATCCATCTTCTGTCACTTATCAAGTCGCAAAGGTAACAGGTTCAAGAGGGAAATCTGACCGATCCCTTTCTCTGGCAACACTCGCCAATGTCAATTTTATTTACGTAGCACAATTAAACAAAAAGCGCTTCAAACTTCAAAAGTTAAGAACTGTGAACAATTCCTTTTTAATTTAAATGAACAGTCTTTAAAAAAATTGAGATTTCTAACAGTGGAACAACGAGGAGCAAGAGGACCAACAATATCAGTTAACTCACTGACGGGGTACACTTTCCAAATATTTTATTTAAGTCTTGTTTTCATTCAGGGTCAAACAATTCTGAGCCCTATCACATGACCATAGGTTAGGGTTCACTTAAAACTTAGACTAGTAAGACAAGAGTTTTGCCTTGAAGAAAAAGCTGAGAGTGTCCTTCTTCACCAGACCAGAGCTACATCCCCCAGTGCATGAGGTCCCATCTCTCACTCACTCTGCCAACAAGACTCACCAATGTTTGAATTCACCTACTTTGAGGCAGAGACACAGCTGACCTGAAGGAAGAATCCCAATATTTTCTGTTCAAGAACCATGGCCTCATCGCAGCCACATTTTGTTGCAAACTGCTCCAGTGCAAATTGAAAGGCAGGTAATGAAGAATCCAAAAAGTTTTTAAAATCAAACCAAGTGGACTCGTTTTGTAAATGATTTGATCAACATCTTGGTAACTTTCTCAATTCAAAACTGGACAGTGTGGAGTTTCAAATTTTAAACTATATGAGATGCTTTGTTTATGCTGCTAAATTCACATGCAAATTACTCTCCTCCCATCGGAAAGTTGTGAGTGTCTATGTTTGCCTAGTTCACATAATAAGCACTTTGGTCACATGAATGAAGGTGTAAATTAGAGTGAAAATGACTGAGTATTGGGCTTAATGCTCTAATTTTATTATGATTGTTTATTATTGTTTGTACCTCATCTGTGTTCTTTGTTAAATCAGGTCTCTTGTAAATGAGTCCTCGTGGCTCAATGAGACTAACCTGTGTAAATAAAGGTTGAATGAATGAATGAAAAATCTAGGTTTTAGAAAGTTGAAATCCCAATGTTGTGGGGTTTTTTTTTTACTTTTTGAATTTGCCATTTCCTGGATGATTGAGAATCTACTCCAGCATGTCAGGGCATGAAGACAACACAACAACATTATCAGCAAAGGACAAAGATGAGACCATGAGGTTCCTAAACTGGACACACTCATCTCCACAAACTGTGCCTTGAAATCCTGTCTATGATCACCAAAAACAGGGTCAGAGCTGAAGGACAGCCTTTGTGGAGTCCAACCTGCACCGAGAAACAGCTCAACTATGCACAGAGGATGTGGACACAACTGAGGGCGGCTGTGGCTGAGTGGTTAGAGCAGTCGTCCTGAACCCCTCGTTGCCTCTGATGTGCGTCCCATCAGTGTATGAATGTGATCTAAAAGCACTGATTAGTCTCTTTAGAATGATTTGCTCAATTAGCTTTGTAGAGATCTAGTAGAGTGCTGTATGAACGGGTAAATGAGGACACAGATTGTAGTGTAAAGCGCTTTGAGTATCTTGAAATAAGATGGAAAGGCGCTATATAAGTACAGTCCATTTACCATTTATATACAGGGACCATATAGCTCTTAAGTGACACCCCCAACATAATGCCTTAAAGAACATGGTCATAAACATTCCCATTTCAAAAATACATGTGAACCAAAGAGTCTCACTCCCAAGAACCCTATGGTAATTCTGCAAGGGTAAGGATCTGGTCCACTGTTCCATGACCAGGACAAAAGCTGCACTGGTTTTCCTGAATTCAACAACAGGTCAGAGTCTTCCGTCAAATAACTAGGGATGCACCAATCCACTTTTTTCACTTCCGATGCAGATATCTGGTTGTTTGTTGTCGGCCAATACTGATCCGATACCAATCTGGTACAGAAAAACTGTGCTGAATTAACAAAAATGGCTAAATCGTGTCATCTGGATCCGTTTCTGAAACAAGTTCAGATGACATGATTTAGCCATTTTTGTTGTTGTCTACCTGGATGATTGAGCTTATAAACCCAGTGCTGAATTAACTTATTTTTTTTATTTTTTATTTTTTATTAATTTATTCATTTCATTTAAAAAACACATATACAGTATACATAAACATATATGTACACATATACATATACATACTGTATATATATATATATATATATACATACACATACACATAAATATACATACAATATAAAAAACTTAAAACTCCATTTTGAAAACAATCTGCAGTGAGTTCACTAGCACGTGAGGTCACTCAGAGCACAAAGCATAGAATTAAAGTGAATAGATCTGCCCAGTCATGGATTGGTCACATTGTCACCAATACCCGATTCAGAAGTTTTTTCGATATCGGGACCGATACCTATATTGATATAGGATCGGTGCATCTCTACAAATAACCACAAATATACATTTTCAAATTCTATTTAAGCTGAATGTGTCGGTATCAACAAAATATGATTTAACAAATATGATTTAGGATTTTAGCACCAACAAAATGAAGGCTTGAGAGACACGTGATCCTTCAGTTGATCATTGTGACAAGTTTTTCACCCAATAGCTAACAGAAAGATTGTATTTTCTGTCAGTCAAGCTGTAAACGACATGACGCCACCTGGCAATCATTCCAGTAGGATTGTCAGCAACTGACCAATCAGCGATCGCAATTTGTCTCGAAGTGAAACGCTCCTTACCTGCAGGAGCTGCAACCCATCTTCTCTCCGACAGCATTGTCTGGGTTGTGCATTACGAACGCTTTGCAATAATAGGTATTTTGTGAAAATCATCAGGAAAAAAAGATGAATGTCAGTGAGGAACATGCAATTCAGACGGTGTTACCTTGAGTGTTTAAAGGGTGGAATACAATTTATTCATTTTCCAAAACCTAAACAAAGTCTGGAGAAATGTAAAAGATAGATAAAGGCCAGCAGTCGACCTCATGGTCAGCAAAATACAATAGTGATATACAGGAAGTACGACATGTTCGTCTGTACAAAGGTAACTGCAAGTAAATTCTCCATTTTCTGTCATAATTAGGTTGTATATTGTAAATTTACACTCTTAGTACATACTGAAATTCATTGTAACTTATTGCCCTGTGTCTCTCTGCAGCATGAAAACATCTACTGCAGGAAGTATTTTAAGTTATTAATATCTTCAAATTTTTTCCCCGTCTTCTTTGCTTTAATGTTGGTTGATAAAGCAAAAATGCCTCACTAAATGCCTCCGGTAACACCGTGAGCTTCACTACCTCCACCACTACAGCTATATACTGTGGTTGGTTTGTTTGTCGGAGATTAGCTCACCTTGGGTTACGTTTTTCGCGTGGGCAGAACAATCTTAATTAGAGATGGGGACGATCCGATCTGGTAACAGACTCCGATACAGCATAATTTACGTAGCACTGTGGCTAACGGCTAACCAACTTTTCATTGAAACATGTCCGCTGTGTGGAAGTACTTTACACTAGAAAAACCACAAAGCAAGACAGGAACGTGCAATGTCTGCAGAGCCATAGCGCCACATTAAACCGCGGTAAAGTTAGTTTTATGTTGGACATTCGAGCTCCGTGGCTTCAGCGGGGCGCTACTCTTGCTCAACTCAAAGCAGGCAGCTCGACCCCGGCCAGCCGCACCCAATCCGTCCCACTCAATCTGCCCGTTTCGGAGGAGGAACAGACTGAGCACGCTGACCGAAATCAGACTGCCCTCCCCGGACTGAACACGAAGAACACACCACTGAAGCCACAGAGCTCGACTGTTTACCAAGAAGTTGCTAAACTTGATCATAATTAATGACCAAGCACTAGCAGTTGAAGAAAACGAAGGATTTCACAACTTGATTGAATACTTGCAGCCAAGATATAGTTTACCATCCAGAAGATATTTATCAGTACAACAGTAAACAATCATAAAAAAACATACGAATTTAAAATTACAAGAAAATTATATAAAAAAAACAACAAAAAAAAACAGCTACATTATACAGGTCCTTCTCAAAAAATTAGCATATTGTGATAAAGGTCATTATTTTCCATAATGTCATGATAAAAATGAAACTTTCATATATTTCAGATTCATTGCACACCAACTGAAATATTTCAGGTCTTTAATTGTTTTAATACTGATGATTATGGCATACAGCTCATGAAAACCCAAAATGCCTGTCCCAAAAAATTAGCATATCATGAAAAGGTTCTCTAAACAAGCTATTAACCTAACCATCTGAATCAACGACGTAACTCTAAACACCTGCAAAAGATTCCTGAGGCTTTTAAAAATCTCCCAGCCTTGTTCATTACTCAAAACCGCAATCATGGGTAAGACAGCCGACCTGACTGCTGTCCAGAAGGCCATCATTGACACCCTAAAGCAAGAGGGTAAGACACAAAAAGAAATTGCTGAACGAATAGGCTGTTCCCATAGTGCTGTATCAAGGCACCTCAGTGGGAAGTCTGTGGGAAGGGAAAAGTGTGGCAGAAAACGCTGCACAACGAGAAGAGGTGACCGGACCTTGAGGAGGATTGTGGAGAAGGGCCGATTCCAGACCTTGGGGGACCTGCGGAAGCAGTGGACTGAGTCTGGAGTAGAAACATCCAGAGCCACCGTGCACAGGCGTGTGCAGGAAATGGGCTACAGGTGCCACATTCCCCAGGTCAAGCCACTTTTGAACAAGAGACTGCGTCAGAAGCATCTCGCCTGGGACTGCTGCTGAGTGGTCCAAAGTTATGTTCTCTGATTACAGTAAATTTTGCATTTCCTTTGGAAATCAAGGTCCCAGAGTCTGGAGGAAGAGAGGAGACACATAATTCACATTGCTTGAGGTCCAGTGTCAAGTTTCCACAGTCACTGGGGTGCCATGTCATCTGCTGGTGTTGGTCCACTGTGTTTTATCAAGGGCAGGGTCAATGCAGCTAGCTATCAGGACATTTTGGAGCACTTCATGCTTCCATCTGCTGAAAAGCTTTATGGAGATGAAGATTTAATTTTTCAGCACGACTTGGCACCTGCTCACAGTGCCAAAACCACTGGTAAATGGATTACTGACCATGGTATTACTGTGCTCAATTGGCCTGCCAACTCTCCTGACCTGAACCCCATAGAGAACCTGTGGGATATTGTGAAGAGAAAGTTGAGAGACGCAAGACCCAACACTCTGGATGAGTTTAAGGCCACTATCGAAGCATCCTGGGCCTCCATAACACCTCAGCAGTGCCACAGGCTGATTGCCTCCATGCCACGCAGCATTGAAGCAGTCATTCATGCAAAAGGATTCCCGACCAAGTATTGAGTGCATAACTGAACATCCATCCATCCATCCATTTTCTTTACCCGTTTATTCCATTTTTGGGTCACGGGGGTCGCTGGTGCCCATGTCCAGCAATCACTGTGCGAGGGGCGGGGTACACCCTGGACGGGTCGCAAGTCCATCACAGGGCCACATAGAGACAAACGAGACAAACAACCATTCACTCTCTCACTCACACCTAAGGACAATTTAGAGTTACCAATCAGCCTAACATGCATGTTTTTGGACTGTGGGAGGAAACCGGAGTACCCGGAGAAAACCCACGCATGCACGGAGAGAACATGCAAACTCCACCCAGAAAGGCCCCTGGACCGGGGTTTGAACCAGGGACCTGCTCGCTGAGAGGCAGCAGCTCTACCAGTTGCGCCACCGTGCTGCCCCATAACTGAACATGATTATTTGAAGGTTGGCGTTTTTCGCATTAAAAACACTTGTCTTTCATTTGTGGGATGAAATATGCTAATTTTTTGGGACAGGCATTTGGGGTTTTCATGAGCTGTATGCCCTAATCATCAGTATTAAAACAATTAAAGACCTGAAATATTTCAGTTGGTGTGCAATGAATCTGAAATATATGAAAGTTACATTTTTATCATTACATTATGGAAAATAATGACCTTTATCACAATATGCTAATTTTTTGAGAAGGACCTGTAGATGCTCTCGAGGTCACTGTAATCAGTCAATGTCTTCCGGTGAGATCCATAAACATTCTCGAGGGATGTAGAGAATTGGTCAAGGATAACATCTGAGAATCCCAAGAGTCTTGAAATGATGACACAAAGTTTATTCAGCTGGCTCAACTGGTTATCAGTTGGAAATTCCTCAGGGAGGGGGTGGTGAACGTCAGATCACATTTTCTCCAGGCAAATTCAGATAAGATGGCCTTCAAGGCCAGCCAAGGGGGAGCCAACTTAGATAAACACACAGTTGTTTTGGGGACAGGCAGGACTTAATGACATCTACCTTGAGTCTGTGTTGGTCAACTCGGTTCTGAAAAGTCCAATTTACATGGCCACACCGATGGAACGTGACTGAGTAAATCCCCAAGATTTGATCCATTCAGCCCAAAGCATTTGAGTCCGGGTACACGAGACACGAACCAAGCCATCGAAAAGGCAAGCAGCGTGATCGGGTCCAAATTTTGCTGCCGACGACTTCCTTGATTGTTGATAAAACCAGCACCAGCTGAATCCAAAATAGCAGGAACCAGTTATCGAAAATCCAATTAAATATGCGTCCTTAGAATCCACAGATGGCAGCAGATCATCAAGTCTTCCAAGTCGATGAGATATCCAGCTGCGTACATGCCAACAGGGCAAATCGGCTCGCCTAAAGCTTGTCTTCTCTTTAAGAAATGTTGTAAATTGAGTTGAGGGACCAACTAGTCAAAACAGTCTATAATGAGGGTACAGTTACCCACTGGGTGTTTTTGCAACTGTATCTCAAGCAAGATATAATCAGTCCGTCAGTTTGTGGCATCTCTCAAAGAACTTCAGTGTACAGAGACTAACAGATAGCCAGGTTGCTATTAGAGCTCTCCAAGGGCCATACTTTACATCATCACTGGTTTGGGAGTGTGACAAAGCAATCACTCAAATGGGAAGAGACAACAGTGCCACTGTTAAATGGGTAACAGGGACATACTGATATTAATGGTAATGAGAGAGCAGACTACCTTTCAAAAGCTGGCAGTCAGGCCCACTTCAAAGGGCCAGAGCCTGTTGTAGGTATTTTAGCAACAGTCTATAGAACTGACCTTTAAGGCCTGGATTAGACATCAACATCTGCTGGAGGGAGTTGACAGAATAGACAGCCATGGGAACTGATTAAAAGCCCAGATCCTAGGTTTGGGAAAGCTCTCATGACCCTGACAAGGAAAACTTATAAAAATATCCTGGGAAAATAAATCCTGGGAGAAGAATACATGGATCTCGAGAAGCTTGGAACACTGAGTGTTTCAGACCTTGTGTCCTTTATTTGAGGAACACAAAAGGTTTGAATAAAGCTCAGTGTTTTTTAGGGAGAGTGTTTTTTGGGACCCACCTACAAGGTCCCTAGTCATTTGGGTTCTTCATCATCCCTTCTTACCAGTACTAATCAGATGAGCTAAGATGCTAAAATCTCCGCTCCCCAAGCGGAGGGGGCAGAGCTGCGTGGGGGGCGGGGTGGGGGATTTGGTATGCAGGGCACTGTTGACAGGGCGGGGCGTCCTCCTTGAATAATGGTAGAGGAAACACTGCTAATAAATCCAATGATGTTTCACCAAGTGTCACTAAAGTATGTCAGGTGATTCATAAGCTCTCTTGCTAACAGACACACATGGGCAAAACAATGGTCCACCTTTCGGTGTTAGGCTATCATTAGCTACAGACTCAAGACAGCTTTGTTTCTGATTTTAAAAAACTTCAAATGCAACATCATCACGACTGCAGGGCAGGCAGAAGCTTGAGGAATTAGTTGCGAAAGTCTGTAATTCTTGTAGAGTGACTTTGAGCCATTCATGAGCGTGTGTGTGTGGAGTCCATGTAAAACAGGTGACACAAACACAGGTATCAGGATCACATGTACCTTTGCAATGTCCTGGTGTAGAGCCTTATTAATCTGGTCCTCGTTGTCTCGGATCATAGACATGAGCTGAGTGAGCTGGCTTCGACGGAACTGCTCAGGTAAAGTGACCCCTGACTTAAAGGTTCTCCGTAAACTCTCCACCAACTGAGTCTGACTCTGTGGGTCCATCATGTTTCCTGCAACACAAACCAAACCATCATGCAGAACTTTGATGTGCACAGGACAAACTATCAGTTCACTGTTACAATGTAGGTTTTCAGAAATCCATGTTAATGTGACTGCATGTTGGTGAAAACTGCAGCCGGTAACAAAACCTGACAAGCCTGTCCTCATGACTCAGCTAGACAAAGAGAGGCGAAATGGAAGATCTGACCTTAAAACAAACTTTTGTTTATATTATTCCAATTTAAACTAGCAAAAATGTATAAAATACAAAGTTAACATACAAGTTGTTAAGTATCATGGATAACTAGCTGGTAGCATCTGATAACTAAAGGCCGAGCTTTGCTTGAAGGAATGCAAATTGCCCAGCACCTTCCCAGAGCTTTAGACTAAGATCATCTTCTGATATTGAGAAATAACAGAGTTGTCATTTGGGTCAAGTCTTGTGTGTGTGTGTGATGTCTTGCAGGATTGTAAGATCTCGGGTGATTTGTTCTAACTTAAAGTATATTTTGTGAATGACTCTTAGCTACAACTACAACAAGTTTTGGCTTAGTGTCTGTAAAACTTTCCGATGTACGGCTAATGCTATTAGTTAATGTAGATTAGCTGTGGTGGCCATCTTTATTTGGGTTGATTCCAAACATTGTTCAGTTGTAGACATAAATCCAATGAATACATTTTAAATGTTTCATTAAAATCTGTACAGTAATTCAAGAGATATTTTGCAAGCAGACAACGAGTTGAGGCTAAAGTTTTATGCAGAAATCATGAGCAGTGAGTATCACCTGCTCTGTGTGTTGTGAATGATGTTCAGCTACAATCGCAACTAAAGCACATCTGTAAAATTGACCTTATTACAGCCATGATCAGGTTGTAGCAGCCATTTAATATAACATTGGTTCCAAAAGGTTTTTCAGTTGTAGATGCAAATCTAAATATTTATTTCTGCAAGTAAAGTTTCAGACTAAACTGTCCAGCGATCTGAGGTATTTTGGTAAGAGAATGGGAAGAACTTCATCGTTTGCCTTTGATATTAAAACGGTGATTTGATTATATAATGAAATGGCCTGCCATACTCTGTGTCAGCTCGGACAGCAAACAGGCAGAGCTGAGCCCACGTGTGGGTGGAGAGCATGTATAAAGACACCACATTGTTTGCTCAGTAACATGCATGGTGCACATATTTGACTGCATGCTCAACTATCTGCCACAAAGTTAATAAAATATCTCAACACATCTGAACAAGAAACAGGCAGCAGTTTGGAACATGCAAAAAAAAGAGCCATACAAATATTAGCTACATCTGCAACGCAAATTAAAACGTAAACAGTTTTTCACTTTTTGCTGTTAGTTTTTTTTTTGTTGTTGTTTTTTTCATGGAGATAGATGAGGCACTCTGATCAAGTTTTATAAATGATTATGTGAAAATAAACATTAGAGAAGAGCAAGACTAAAATAACCTTTTCAAGTACTTTGGGTGTTTCACACAAATCTGTGTCAATAAAATGAACACATGACTAGGCCTGTCACGATAACAAATTTTGCTGGATGATTAATTGTCTCGGAAATTATTGCGATGAATGAGAATATTGTTTAAAATTTTACAATAATTAGTAATTATTGTCAAATTTAAGAAGAAATGTTGGTTAATTTATTTTGAGTGTAGTACCTTTTTTTGAACACTGGATGGCAGTATAAGACTGTTTGGACCGAAGCATGGATGGTAAGGGAAAGAGCAGCGTGTCTCTTTAAGAAAAATGGGAGGGAGGCCCCTTGATGTCACAAGGGCTGTCTCCAGTGTTGCCAGGTGTACAATAATTATCGTATTTGTACGACAATTTTCCCCTCTGTACGATCAATAATCCCAAAAAAGGGCAAATATACGATAATTTGACCATTCTGTGAATGTGTGGTTGTAATCAGTTGTCATCAGCCTGTCGCAACTGTCTGTCGGAGTTTTGTTGTGAACCCTGACGGCATCTGTGCCCACAAACAGATGAACGATTGACTGGAAATTTCAGCCAATCATGCTTTTCTAAATGTTACCTATGAGTGACGTGTTTGCGTTTGCCTCAGAACAACGGCCATGATTGGCTGAATAGTCCGCTGTGCCCACCCCTTGACTGAGGAAAAGAAAAAAAGAAAAGAAGAAGAAGCAGAACCGGTCTGGAAGCGGACCCATCACTACTATAGTGCATCAGTAGATTTGTTATTTTGGTTATGACGGGTGTACGATAATTTCCTTCAAAATACAATAATTTTATGTCTCTAGTACAATACAAAAAATTTCTCACCTGGCAACACTGGCTGTCTCTCTTCAGTTCTCAAAATGGTGGACGCTTGGTAAGGTTTGAGCATAGCATTTTTCACACAAAGCTTTTAATAAAAAAAAAATCAGTAAGTTCTCAGCTTCTTTTTGCAGAGGAAAAACAACTTTTTACATGAAGGCACAGGTTTCAACCATGAATTTTGGAGCTTCGACAAGACGGAGGTTTTTTCCCTGAGGTTGACCTGTTAGCTTAGCTCGTAGCTTAGCTGCTTTTAACGATCAAAAAATGCGATTTTGGACGGTTAAAACAGATTTTAAAAAGAAAGGGATGGGTCAGTGAAGAGCACCGGAGTTGAGCATTTTATCATCCAGTGTCATAACTAGTTTTAAATGTTATCTTGGCAAATTAACTTTTTTTCTGATCCACATATATACTGTACAAAAATACACACACTCAGTGGCCATGTTATTAGGGTTCAACACCTCCTTACCACAAACAGCTTCCGTATATTTCGTCCTATAAGTCACAGTGTTTTTGCATAATTTGCAGATCCTGCGTCTTATACGCCGAAGCGACATATTTATGGATTTTTTCCCATATTTATAAACCAATTTTTGGCTGAGATATGACCGTTTTCATTCATTCTGACAGAAAATATTGAACACTAACATTTTCAGATGCTAGATGGCACTTGAGTTGTATGGCATGCTGTTGTATCATGTAATAAGTACAAGTGGCTATTAATGACACAATTGGCTTGCTACAGCCTTGCTCCATCTTGTTAAATTCTTGTTTAAGTCCTCCCGTGCACGCTCCCGTGGCTGCCATTTGGAAACCAATCAATTTTTGCCACAACACAGACCCGTTTCCGGGTTGTCAGTGGTGACGCATAATAGATGCGACTTACAGGGCGGAGCGACGGGTACGGCGGAAAATACGGTAACTGGCACATGGAGGCATTTGGACATGGCGAAGACGTGATGTGGGATTAGTGCCAGGATTTTTACCCACAACCATGTGTAACTGTGTGCTGTGCTAACAGGACCAGCTGACAGAAAACGTTTCACGTGTTGGCTGCTCTGCTGCATCTGACAGGATGGCACAACGAAATATGAAGACTATCAAGACACTCTGGAACAGAGCCTGGTCTTGTTGCAGCTCAGGGGTCAACCAACACGATGACGACCCAACAACAGCTAAAAACACAAGAACGGCTCAGAACCAAACGCTGTTCTGGTCTGAAGCCTCCTGAACATGTGGCAGGAGCAGGAACCTGAGACTTTATCATGAGTGGGCCCAACCACCTGCACCAGTCTCACTCTCAGAAACCAGTGGATTGCAGTGGTTGAGCAACAAACTTCCCATCCTTTTGGTTGTTTTTAAAACAAATCTCTTGAACCAATATACAAAAGCAGTCACTTATTTTCATTCATTCGGGGTTTTCGTCTCCTCTTTTAAATACTTTTGTCCGTTTCAAGTTATTTTTGCTGTTTTTTTAACCAACATGTTTGTTCATGTCAAGATGGAGCAACTTCTACAACTTGAAGTAAGTTCTTGGTAAACGGGCGCAGCTCAGAGGTGAAAACCTTTTTGTTACTTGTTTCAGAAAGTGAATTAGATTCATGACGCACACACTTCAAGCCTGAACTTCCAGTAGTTTGTGTAGTTTACAGCCGTCATGTGAAGTGGCGCCATGTCTCATTTCAATCAAGAACTCGTTAGAAACATTTTCCTCAGTCTTCCTGGTTCTCACGCGCGCGCGCCTCCAGCCCACGAGGACTGACTGACGGTAAAGTGCGCGTGCAGGTTACCAGGCATCGTTAGCCGAGGTTCGGTTCGGAGCCTACCTGTCGGCGCGTCCAGCAGCAGCTCCGGGACTTCTGGTTTCCGGTTCCTGTTCTGGATGTGGACCTCCTCGCTGGCTTTGAGGAGGACCGGTTTTTGGTCTGGCGAGAAAAACCCGTCAGACCGCAGCCGAACCTGATCGAACCTGTCGCGGACTGCTCCCCCAGCCGAACACGAAACTTTCTCTCCTCACGCGAGTGGAAAACATCAGACAGCTTGAAGCTGACCGCCGGACCGAGCCAAGATGGCTGCCGCAGCCAACCGACCCAGCTGACGTCACAGATTACAAGATTCTTTTTAAATAAACCCCCTCTGTTAGCAAAATATCTGAGCTGGCTCTCCAGTTTCATTTAATGGCAACATGATGTTTAGCAACATCTGCCAGCTGTTTGTGAAGTAGTTCATGAATGTGATCAGCTGGAGTTAATCCAAGTCAAGATGGCCGCCACAGAGCTGAGGGTCATGTTCTTCATTCTGAAGTTGGACAGAACAGTTTCCAGTTTGACCACAGATCTTTTCCTCACACGCTGGTGAACATCTGTAACACATCTGTACGTGTCAGCGCAGTGGTTTCATCTTACTCGTTTAAATCACAATGACCAAGAGACGAGCGTCGATACAAAAACTTTATTCTCACAATATCAAAAGTGACAGAAGTAGTTGTTTAGATTTAAAAGAATGAAGAACAGAGTGAAGCGCAGTCTCCTGGAGAACAGTTTCTCTCCGCTGTTTGTGACCGTTAAGAGCGGGGGTGTCACTCCTGGCAGCAACGACTACACAACTCAAAGACAACGTGTGCACGGAGGGAAGTCCTTAAATGATAAAATTGTAAAAATCCTGTATATTTTTGAAAATGAACTTTATCCAAGCAGCTCTAAACCTAAAAAACATTTAGTGATAAAAAACAAACGGTGAGAGCAACGTGGTGGACAGGAGAATGTTCTATGTACAGAGAAATGGAAGATGAAGACGAACAGTCGTGGGCCCGGGATCAGCCGCACCCTTTCACACCAACTGCTCCGTCAGGCTCGGGCAGTCAGGCAAAAATCCAGCTCTTCAAACGGAGCTGCGTGAGAGCTTCACAAGGTCAGGTGGATCTGCTACCAGAACTGAGCTGCAGCAGAACGGGGGGGGTCAACGGTGGAGACACGTCATGGCTGCCTGCTCAGAGGCGTTACAGGAAGTAGTCAGCTACTGGCTTCTTGGAGGGGATGCCTCTGGTCTCTTGGGGGGCTGCTTCGAATATGATGAACTCCCGCTGTAGATGCTCATCCAGCTCCAAGATGGCCGCCACATTACCACACCTGGTGGGGAGGAAACAGTCGTTTATCGAGTCACGTCTTGTTTTAAAACAAACGTTAAAAACACTCAAAAAATGCTGCTGTTTAAACATTTTAAAGAACGAGTGCGTGATTTTTATTTCATTTATTTTTTGACATTAGTGACCAAGTAGCAGACAAAAAGCAACCGAACACTCTGCTCTTGAGTCATGGCGGTGTGGATACAAATGATTAGGAATCCACTTCAAACACCACGTCAGTCCAGTCACTGGTACTGTGGCCGTCTGTCACAGACTTCTGGAGTCGAGCTGGGTTTTCACGTCTTGTTCATCACTGAACAATTTCAGAAGTAGAAAGTTCCTGAAGAAACTGACGGGGACTGCCACGTGGCGGCCATTTTTAAATGTTGATTTGACGCTGTGTTGGGGTTAGCTCTCAGCTCTCACCAAATTTCAGCTCAATATGTCAAAAATAACAATGAGTTAGTCATTTTTTCTTTTAAGCTATGGTAGCCATCTTGGA